ATTATTATTATTTTGTACTGGGGATTAAACCCAGAGGTGTTTTATCTCTGAGCTACATCCCCAGCCCCTCTTTTATTTTGAGGCAGGGTCTCAAAGTTGCTTAGAGYCTTGCTAAGTTGCTGAGGTTGTCTTTGAACTTGTGATCCCACTACCTCAGTTCCCCTGGCAATTAGGATTACAGGTATATTGCTACCACATCCAGAAACTATGATTATTTTTTTAAAATTTGCTTTAGTCAGGTGCAGTGGCGCATGCCTATAATCCAGCAGCTTGGGTGGCTGAGACAGGAGGGTTGCAAGTTCAAAGCCAGTTTCATCAATTTAGGCCCTGAGCAATTGTATTAGAGCCTGTCTCAAAATAAAAAATAAAAGAGGATGGGGCATGTGGCTCATTTGCTAAGTGCCTCTGGGTTTAATCCCCAGTACCCCCCCCAAAAAAAAAAAGTAAGTTGCTTTAATAATAACATTTTCTTGCTTAACACAATTTGTAGTTTTTGTTTTGGCTTATTTACTTGTTTATTGTCTCTTTCTACGTAGATTGTAGGAGSCTTTCATGAGGGAAGAGACCTTGTTTTATTTAAAAATACATGCCACAGGGGCTGGTAGAGCACCTGTCTTGCAAGTAAGAGGTACTGGGTTCAATCCTCAGCAACACATAAAAATCAGTAAATAAATATATTGTGTCCATCTACAACTAAAAATATATATATCAAAAAAATACATGCCACATTGTCTGGCACATTGTAGGTATTCACTAAATTTTTGTTTCTTGCAGTCAAATTCCCTGTTCATTTTTTTTCCTTCAACAAATATTTAGTGAGTCCCTGCTGTATGCTGGTCTCTATTAGATGTAGATGATAAAGCAGTGAGCAAAACAGACAAAAATCCCTGCTATCTTTGAACTATGACAGGATGCATCGATCCTTCATTTGAACATGTTGTAACATGCTCTAGCTGTTCCAACCCTGACTGGGCATCAGTATCCCTGGGGAGCTTTAAAAAGTCTATGGCAGTGCTCTGCAACAGGTCCTGGAACCAGAATTTTAAAAAGGAAACGATAGGGGCTGGGGATGTGACTCAAGCGGTAGCGTGCTCGCCTGGAATGCCTGCGACTCGGGTTCGATCCTCAGCACCACATACCAACAAAGATGTGTCCGCTGAGAACTAAAAAATAAATTAAAAAAAAAAAAAAAAAAAAGGAAACAATAGTGGTTCCAGTGCTCTCGGGAGAAGGGTTCACAATTCTATGACTTTTTTTGTTGCTGTTCTTTTTTTGGTGGTGCTGGGAATTGAACCCAGGGCTTCGGGCATGATAGGCAAGAGCTATCAGAGCTTAATTGTGCCTCGCTAAATTGCTGAGGCTGGTCCTGAACTTGTGATCCTCTTGCCTCAGCCTCAGGAGTTGATTGTATTGTACACGTCTGCCATCGTGCCCAGTTTAGATTTGGGGTTTTAAATGACATGATTTAAATATCCTTTTTACCAGTTTTAATGAACAATTTTCCCTTTTGTGGTGATAGTTCCTAATTAAAAGCCAGAGTTTTTTGTTTTTGGTACATGATCTTGCTATGTTGCCCAGGTTGGTCTTGAAGTCCTGGACTCAAGCGATTCTCTTGCCTTCTGAGTAGCTGGAACCACGGGAGTGTACCACCAGAACCTGCAGAACTTGGCTTCTGACCCAGACCTATGCTCCAAAGAATAGCCCAGGAGATCTGCTCTTATCCAGGGCTGTCGCAGGCAGGCAGCCCAAGGTTGCTCCTGTGATAGGCATAGAGCTCCGCATCTCTGGTATATCTTCAGACCACATGCTGCAGGAATAGGTTCCTCAAGGTTGTCACATGCGCATCAGTTGCACCCTTGGAGGGGGACTTTGGTGGACCCCGTCTCCTAGTGATAGTGAGCAGCAGTACAGGGGCCTGGGAATCAGATAGACCTAAGTTTGAATCTCGTCTCTTCCTGGCCCTGGCTTCTACTGCTAGGTGATGGCTCTGCACCTTAGTTTTCTTATCCGAAAGGTGTAGGTAGTAACGACTCACACAGTGGTTGGTACAGTTTTGAGACGCTCTGCTTGCTCTGCTTGCTCTGCTTGCCTCCAAAGGCAGTTTCCCTCCCCCAGGTGACATCCAAGGGCATTTCCATGGGCCACAGCCCTCATAGGTTCCCACTGGAACCCCGGGGGCACAACTGAATTAATTTCCTGGTTAAACGTCATAGTTTCAAACCACCGGGAAAACYGCCCTGTTGCCCCAGGCAGCGCAGCGGATACAGCTCTGAGGCTTCGCTCCACTAGGTTGCCTTCAAACCTCCGGGAGAAAACCCTTCTCAACATGGCGCCGCCCTGTGGCCGCGCCGCGCCTTTCCGCCGCGTTGACGTGAGTGCGCGCGCGTCCTCCGCGCTGAGTCTCGACGCATGCGCGCTCCGTGCTGTCTTCTCCCGGCCAGAGCAGCAGTAGCSGCGGCGGCGTTTGAGTGGAGGAAGATGGCGGCTCGGGGCGGCTCGGGGTCCCCCCAGCTGTGAGGATACCCGAGCACGGCCAGCGCGACCTGGGGCACAGCGCCTCTGTTCTGGCCCTGTCCTCGGCTCCCTCCCCACAGTCGCCAGCGGAGAGAACCCGAGAGCGTGGAGCGGGCTGGGCCAGGTGAGGCCTCTCCTCCTCCCGAGCTGCGGCTGGCAGCCGGCGCCTCCTGCCCTTTATGCCCCGGGGGCAGTGGGCGCGGGGTACGTGCAGGCCGGTCATCCTGCGCCGGGGTCGGTCCTGGCCGATCTGGGCCTTGCTGTCGTCATCGTCGGTTCCCCTGGGTGAGGCGGGGAGAAGGAGAGCCCCTTTACAGCCAGCATTTCCCGTCCCTTTTCTGCGGGGCGGTTCTCGTCCCCTCACTCGGTCCAGGAAGGGGTGTGTGGCCATGGCAAGGATGGTTTTAGGGGTGTCAAATAGGCTTTAACCCCGCCCCCCAGACCTTAACTCCCTGAGAGAGGAGCTGGAGGCTGGTGCCCTCCAAAATTGGGTCCGCGGCGAGGGGCCCGCATCTCGAAAGCTGCAGCTGCAAAGGGATGATATTGGGATTGGCTTGCAAAATAAAACAGCAGCAGCCTTTCCTCACCCCTGGGTATATGAATGTTGCCTTGGAGAAGTGGGAACAGCGGATCTCCTTGCTTGAGACTGCAATCCACGTTGTGACTGAGGACGGCTTTTCTTGGTGAGAATTGTTTGTGCAATGGGAACGGTTGAGGGTGGGAACGATTTGTAAATGAAGAAAACACAATTATAAGATCTCGGTAGTCTGCAGAATAACTTCAGCGCTCATGGAGTTCGTTTGAAACCTTTGGATTGTTAAGTTTAACCATTTGCTTTGTCTGTTCGATCTCCCCACTTTTATTAGGAAAATAAAAGCTTCATTTCTTCGTTGCCGAAGTCTTTGGACTTTTCTCTGGTGGGCTTCCCACCGAGCTAGATGAAGATCCAGACATATTACCAGTTCTCACTTGCTGGCAGTGTCATTGTGCTGTGCTGGTTAATTCCTTTTTGAGAATAACTTTTTGTTCAAATGCTGTTTGGGAGCCTTTGGCTTAGTTTCTCTCAGGTAGGGAAGCTAATTTGAAGCCTTGAAGAATGATGGCTTCAGTGGTAATTGTGCTATGGGGAATGGTTGTGGCCATTGCTTTTGCTTGGACTCCCCAAATACCTTTTGTAACATATACCTTTGGTTTTATTTGTGCTTAAGAAAGATGACATCATGGATTTAAAGAGACATGGAAAATTTGAGCCCTCATTTAGAATTCATTCTGTACCTCTTACATTGAATAGTGATGTTGTGTGTCGAATTGCTAACTTTGAGTTTATTCATATGTATAATCTGGTTGGGTGTCTTTTCTGTTGTACATAGTCATTTTGTACCCTGAAACTGTTTGCTTTTGACCATCCCAATATAAGCTTATTATTCAATCTACATGGACCCACGGGTTTGTTTTGCCCTTTAAAAAGCTTTTAATTGTTAAAATGGTAGCTGTTTAGTTTAATATTGGCTAGTTCTTTAAGCATTTTTTCCTTTTCTATTTTTAAATCCAGGTGCTTTTCATAGAATTTRTAGATTTTTTTTAGTGTCTTTGCTAAAGAAGTAAACTTGCACTAACAGTAGAAAATTGGAAAGCCCCTCTATGTATTAATTTGCTAATAGTCTTGAAATTAATGCAGTAAAACATCCTGGTGGTTTGAGAGTGTGCTTTTTGACATAATATGTTGCATTGTTGTGCTAAATCATCATTAGATATTGATGCAACTTCATGACATCCATGACATCATTCTCTCCCCATCACTTCTACTTTTKTAATTCCTTACCATTCTCAGTTACAAAAAGAACAGGATCAGGAAAAACAGCTTAGGATGCCTCAAATTCTAGAAGGGCCTTTAATGTCTCTTTATGTAGTAAAACCTTCAGTAAGATTCAGAGCTGTGTGATTGGTAACTATTATGAAGTGCAAGCAAAGAAAATGCTAGTAAAGCCTGAGTTTTATGAAAATATTGAGGTCCCCAGGAGAGGCTGTCTCAAAGGAAAACAAATATGTGCTTATCTTTGTGATTTCAGAGCTGTCAACAATTCTTATAAGAAACTAGAGCCATTTAGTTATAAATAATGACATTCCCACTTCATAAGATTGTTATGTGGGTCATAAGAGGTAATGTTTGTGAAGGTGCTTTGTAGATGTCAAATGAAAGGTAAATGTAAGATTATTTCTATTCTATGAAATCCTTATTTAAGAGTGCTGTCTGTACTAGGTATTTTGGGAGGGAGGTACTAATGATGCTAATTAAGAACGGGCAGCTTTTGGTATGAAGTTGCCTGAAGTCTGATTGGGAAACTGGACAAGGAAACCACTTAAGCTTATTGTAGTATATATAAGAAGTACATTGAGGGGCTGGGTTGTCGCTCRGTGGTAGAGTGCTTGCCTAGCATGTGTAAGGCACTGGGTTTGATTCTCAGCACTGCATATAAATAAATAAAGGTCCATCCATAACTTAAAAAAAATGCATTGAATCCAACAGGGGAGTCAAGGAAGGTTTCTTGAAGTTGGCARCATTTTCCCCAGTCTATCTTATTGTTCTGCAAAAAAGTCTGCCTTTTGTGAGTGACTTGCTTTTTATAAAAACTTTTTAAAAATTCTGTCATCAGTTCTTTTCCTGTTTTATTCATTCACTGTCATGACACTTCCCACACAGTATGCCCTAGTTATGGTTTCTGCATTCTCAAAAATTCAGCAATCTTGGGAGAACCTTTCTGAGTGAGTCAGAAGCACAGGCAGCAAACACAAACATTGCAGCTGCAATTAAAATATCCCAGATTACTAAGTGGTGATAACTTTATAGAGTGAGGCTTTTTTCRTTGTTTTTGTTTTGCCAACTAGCACGAGAGGCATTGTATGTTTTAATTTGATCATATTTAATTAATGTTGAGTTGTCATCCTTTAGAATGTCAGCTATGGTGGTTATTAGTACTGTTTCCTTTTTCTGAATAATTAATAAAGTCCTGTTGGTTTTTGGGTGAAACTGGCAGCTTAAGCCAGAATTAACACAAAACTACTTTATAGAATCTGCTTATGTGAATTGAGATTGCTTAGCATCTCTGAAATTGAATTTCTGTATTTCTACAAAAGTTATGTATCTTAGTGCTGTAGTTGTTTTATAATTAATTTAGCATGTTGTCGTCTAGATTGCTAGAATTTTATRTATTTTTGAATAGAGTAGAATCTTTATGTGGCACTGTTATTTGAGTACATGTCATCTGTATCTTCACTGAAAAGGAGTGTTTTAAGGTTGTGGTAGACAGAAAAGTAGTGTGTTAATTTATCTGTATTGTGACAGTTACATGTAAGAGAGTATGACTTATATACAAGTCATTTTAAAATTGCCCTATGTTAAGCTCATAATGCAGTTTATTTTTAAAAACGTTTCCTGTGACATTCTTCTAAAAGTTTTGTAAGATTATGATTTAGTGGCATTCCTGTACCTTTAATTTTGCATTTCCTTATTCATGCATGTATTAGAAAGCAAATTTGCTTTGAATTGTGATTGTTCTTGTATTAAATTTATATATTGCAAAGTTTTCTGTTGAAATTTTTTCCAGTATTATTCTGTTTTGCTTCAAATGTGCAGGGATAGAACTGAGCCATATCCCAGCCCATTTTTTATTTTTTTTAAAATTTTTTTAGAGAATTTTAATATTTATTTATTTTTTTTAGTTTTCGTCGGACACAACATCTTTGTATGTGGTGCTGAGGATCGAACCCGGGCCGCACRCATGGCAGGCGAGCGCGCTACTGCTTGAACCACATCCCCAGCCCCCATTTTTATTTTGAGATAGGACCTCCCGAAGTTTCTGAGACTGGCCTTGAATCTACAATCCTCTTGCCTTAGCCTCCCAAATCACTGGGATTACAGGTGTAATCCACCGCATTGAGTTTAGTATCTTGTCCTTTGATAGACACATACATACTTGTGTAGTTATACATATGCAAATATATGTAAATCTATAAGCATATGCAAATATACATAAACAATATAGAAATATTGTAAATATATAGGTATTACACAAAGCAGTAGTTACTTGTAACTACTATTTTTGTAAAACTATTTTTCTGTTCTGGATTGTAGATTAACTTAAACTAACTTCTTTTCTCTCTCTGTTGCTGGTGATTGAGCTCAGGATGTGACATGTGCTRAGCCCCCAGTTCTCATTCTACCGCTGAACTACATCCCCTGCCCCTGACAGCAACTTATTTTCATTTTTAGTAATATGTAGATTTGAGGTAGTTCATTTACTTTCTATAAAGGCAAATCAATTTTAGTTTTAGCTGGTATTATTTCTTTAGACTATTTAGGATAATTTTATTTCATTTGTTTTAAGGAATTCATTAGTACAGAATGTTCTTCCAAATTTGTTTCTTTATTCTCTAAGACAAAATATTTAATTCTTTGCTTTTCATTCTAAAGTTYCTTAGTAAAGAATTGGTGCAATAGTCACCTCAGTAGTGGTAAATAAATTTTTTGCTATTTTCTGTGTTACTGTAGGCACATGGATTTTGATTTATTCATTATTTTACACTTACTTATAGCCATTAGTCCCCCCCCCCCAATTTATAGCTGTAGATGGACAGCATGCCTYTATTTTTTTTATGTGGTGCTAAGGATTGAAACCAGTGCCTCACACATGCTAGGCAAGCGCTCTGCCACTGAGCTACAACCCCAGCCCTGCCATTAGTCTTTTTGATGCAGAAATTTGGCCAATATAAGCCTATTTAAGATGGTGTTGGCCAGATGTGGTGGTGCATGCCTGCAATCCCAGTGGCTCGGGAGGCTGAGGCAGAAGGATTGCAAGTTCAGAGCCASCCTCAGCAGCCACAAGGCACTAAGCAACTCAGTGAGACCCTGTCTCTAAATAAATAAAATACAAAAAAGGGCTGGGGATGTGACTCAGTGGTTGAGTGCCCTTGAGTTCAATCCCCTGGTACCCCCCCCCCCAAAAAAAAAAAGATGGTATTGTATCCTTTTGACATGCCTCTTCAGTTGAAGAACTTGGTTTTAATAGTGTTAACATGTGTTTGCTTTATCCTATTTATATATAGGATTTTAAGTATATTATCTGT